ATCGCCCAATGAGTCGTCGTCGCAGAACCACAAGAGACGAAGAAGAGAGAGAGAGAGAGAGAGAGAGAGAGAGAGAGAGAGAGAGAAAGAGAGAGAGAGAGAGAGAGAGAGAGAGAGAGAGAGAGAGAGAGAGAGAAAAGCGCGTGACATCTCATCAAGGAGAGGATTCGGCTTGGATCCGTTTCTTTGTGATGGTGTGCAGGTATGCATCCTTATCATCACCATCCGCGTCAAACAACAACAACAACAAACAACAACAGTCAGTCTCTCTTTGTCTCTCTCTCTCTCTCGCGTGTTTGAACCAACTGCGTTGCGCGACACGAGAGGGCGGGGTGTGGGCGTGGGTGGTGGTCCATTCATGCACGGCGCGACGCGCCTGTGAAGAAAGCACGACCAAACGCGGCCACGACACTGTCTGTTGCCGTACCTATTGGCGTGAGCCTCGTTGGAAAATGAACCAAGCACCCGTCAATGAGCCGAATGACGTGGAGGGGGGTCATCCCTCTCATTTGGTGAGGCTGGCCCTCTCCTTTTGCTCCGAGCTTGCGTGTGTGTGTGTGTATTTGTGTATGTGTGTGTGTGGACAATAATGTGAACGTTTCGCTGCGCACGCGCGCACGCGCTGTTTGTTCAGTCTGAATCTATGACGATCTCTGGTTTGCATGACTTGCGTTGTGTGTGACGGTGGCATGTGCAGACGAGCCGGTATGAAAGAGGCTGCACGTGAGAAGAGGGCCATCGATGGACCCTTCTTGTCTGGGGTTGGAGGTAAGCAAAGCGGAGTTGGGTGGGATGACGGAGTGGAAGGACCCCTTTTGGCATCAATGCGCAATCGTAGATTGTATTATGTGCAAATTTGAATTATTCGACGCCAGCTTTTCATGGTGGTTCTTTAGCATTGTTTGCCAGGTTGATCAACGCTTGCATGTCAGCAAAAGTCAATCGTCTCCCAATCTCCCAGTCTCGGTCCAGACAGGAGCAGCTTGACGGCAACAAGCGCAGCCATCCCATCCCATCCATTCGCTGGCCCATGGCCCGTGGCCCGCGTCCAGGGCAGCCAAACTAACTTTTAAATACATCTACACAGTTCCACATGCATCGAGCCAACTAGACGCAGCAAGGACAGAAAAGCACTAGACCAGACCACGTCAACGTGGCGGGCACGCCCTTGGGGCGTTGGACCAGACGACGGTCCCCATCACGGCAACACCACGGCGCTTGATCCAGGCCGGTGCGTTAGTCCAGATACTTGTCATCAAGCTGCAAACACTCATTCACCACAGTTTTGAGGTTGGGGTTCTCCAAGGCGGCCGCCACCCGTTCTTTGTCGGCCAGCTGCTTGTTGACTGCCAGGCCACGGGCACATCATTGCCATGCATGAGCACCCGAGGAAACACCAGACCAGAATCGATCAACCTCTGCCTCGGCCAGCCACGCGTGCGTGTACGGATGACGACGCGTGCAACTGGGACTCGGTACCTACTTGAGGCCTCTGTGGCGTGAGTGCCGGGAAAAATCTCCACATCCACCTTGAAGCGCGGGGGCAGCGCGCGCAGCAGCCGCACCCGTAAACACAGGCCAATCAGCGAAGCCATGCTGCAGTGTGGAATGGTCGGCGTAAACTGCACACGAACATAGTTCTGGGCATCGTCCACCAATATTTGGTCTGGCCACCCCAGCGCCAGTACGAATGAGGTGAGGTGCAGTCGATGGATGGATCGCTCAAGATGCCAAACTCCTGGCTCACAACAGGGAACGCATCGCCGTGGAAACAGCCTGGCGACTCAATTCCTGCTAAACCGACTTACCCAGTCGAACCACGTTGAGCTCTTCCAGCGTCAGGGGATGCTCAGGGTCATTGATGTGGCGCACCAAGTCTATCACCGGGGACGCACAGGCGCACATTTAAAAAGACGGCCAACGGCAAAAGAGCGGGGGCACACCGGGAACTCAACTGACCAAAGATTTCTCGGCTGTCAAAGGGGTCGATCACATCATCATCAAAGTCGTTGTCCAAGGTCACGCGCTCCTGGACCTTGCCATACACCCGCGGCGCGGCATTTTCCAGCGCCATTCTGTCTGTTAACTGTTGGAGAAAATAAGAACCGCTGGCGTCGCACACATCCCCACTGCTTACGTCCCCAGGGATGAGAGAGAGAGAGAGAGAGAGAGAGAGAGAGAGAGAGAGAGAGAGAGAGAGAGAGAGAGAGAGACGAATTGGGTGGAGGAAGAGAGAAAAAGAAAGGCGTTAGGAGAGACAAGAGACAGAAAAGAAAAGAAGGTCAGAGAAGCAACGGAGAGCAAAACATTTGATATTTCTCTCTCTCTCTCTCTCTCTCTCTCTGTGTGTGTGTGTGTTTCGGTAACTGGAGCCAGCCGCCTTCTTGTCTTGCCTGCCATCTTGGTGTTGGGTATCCTGGCGCGCGCTTGCTCTCCAATGGGTGAATGGGTGTTGGATCAGGCTTGGCAAATCTTCATGGCCCTTTGAGTGTGCGGGGAGGCTGGTGGTGGTCGGAGGGGCCTTCAACTCAAACTTGTTGTGGTACATCTGCGTCGCTCACCTCAGCCGGTTGTTTGGACTCGTAGCTCTTCGATCGGCTTTTTTCTCAGCACCGATACCATGGCTCGCGGCAACCAGCGTGAATTGGCTCGTGCCAAAAATCTCAAGAAGCAGCAGGATAAGACCAAGCATCAGCGCGAGGACAACCTGACCCCTGCCCAGCGCCGAGAACGGTCAGATGTGCTTGCCGCTCCTGCTGGCGCAACGTCCGGCCGAGTCGCTGGCATCTCTACTCTACTCGCTCAATTTGCTCATCCGGTTCTGTATTCTGACTCTTTACGCATGGTCGCAGCGATGCCAAGGCGCTGCAGGAAAAGGCCGCGCGCAAGGCTGCTCAGAAGGAGGCCGCCGGCAAGTAGACATTCACCCTGGCTCGACTCGTGGCTGTCCAACTCGACGAGCACAACGGCCGCAAGCATTCAAGTTTTGGCTGTTGCCTCTCCGTCTTTCTCTCTCCCTCTTCCTGTGTTTTTTTTTCTTAACTCGATCGTTCCTGCTTCTACTCCGTACACATACAACCTTCAACTGCCCGCCTTACCGGCCCTCCAGCGCTATTTTCCCTCCCGTGGCGCTTCATTTTTCTCCCTCGCTTTGGCGTGCTTAATTCTACTCCCCCTCTCTATTTGCTCAAGTTGGCTTGACAAACCCTCGCTGTGGAATATGCTCAAGAAGGAGCCAGGCATAGCCTCATACTCAATGACGAGTAGATTAAAACACCAACGCAAGACTTTTAACCATTCATTATGAAAAGGGAATAAATATTATTCTTATTGTCATTAGCATGCACGATGCCTGCCCGCTGCTCTCGAGGCGAGGCTTATCGTCACATGAGACAATGCTTGGGGTAAGACAGTCTTCCCTCCGTCACCGCGCTCTGGTCTCCTCAGCGGAGCACAGTACCACTCCGTGGTGACCATCGCGAGTAGCCCATGAGCCGTCTGACAAAAGCCGACAAACGGCTCCCACACAGGGCGAGTGGCCACTACAGCCGCCGTCCTCATCACCAGTGCCAACGGAACCAAGCATTGTCTCGTGATGCCGACCCTGACACAGGCCCCGGTTTGCCACGTCCTATCGAGGTGTGTGACACCTCTACAACTCACCGAGGACCTCACCGTTTCGTACAACGAGCAGCGGCCAGGTCTCAGCTACCCCACGCCGCGTCAGGCAGGCCCGGAGGGCAGAGCCAGCTGAGCCCAGCTCCAGCGCGTTCACCCGCACGGTCACCACGGTGGGCGCGGTTTGTGCAGTGAGAACGGCTCTTGACAGGCAGGCCACCATGGCAGGTGAGCATTCGGTGGCTAAAAAGCCGGGAAAAGGCTGCTCCGCACAATTCTGACGGGCCAGAACCCGCGACTCATGCAGGGCCAGCCATGCCGGCGTGGCTTTGGTCAAGACCGGTTCGCTTGGTGCAGGCCAGGGCGCAACTAGCAGTAGGCGCGTAAACGCAGGAACACGACCCAGCCGCTGCCAAATCCGCTCACATCGCTCTTCAGTCCGGACAATGCTCACACAGTTGCCATCCTGAACACTCGTGTTGGTCAGTGCTGCCAGGCGTCGCGCTGCTCGATGGGCCGCCGCATCGGCAGCCAATGACGATCGCTCTGGAGTCACCCATGTTCCCAGTACCGCTGCTGGCGCGCGCAGCGATGCACCTTTCCCGATCGGCCGCGCTCGCTTCAGCGGCGGTGCGGCCTCGAGACCCACGCTGGGCAAAGGGATCATGCATGACTGTGCACTTGGCACGGACTCAGGGCTCATGAGCACGGGTGTTGCAGCACGCCTCGGCCTTGCTGTTGCTGCTGTCACCAACTGGTCAGCATTGCTCGGGCGGAGCTCTGGGTGAGCTTTGGGGGGCTCGCTCAATGGGCGCTCGGTGGATTTCATTGCAGTAGATGTGGACAATAGTGTGCTCGGTTTGACTAACGCCGTTTCGGATTGCCGCGATGGGGAAGTGATGGGCGTGGGGCACGATCGGTTGTCTTTTCGAGAGCGGCACAGTCCGGGTGGGCAGGGCGCACGGCGCCGTTGACACTAACAGTCCAGGTAGAAACGCAGTCAGAACAAAGCGTGAGCGACAACGGCTCCTCGCAACCTGTTGGCTTTGACCACGCGCATAGGCAGGTATAGCTGCCCACTTACCCGGCATGGCGACTGGACGGCATCAAAAAGATTGGTTGAAAATATCACGGCTGGATCTGCTGGTGCAAGCGTCTCGTCTGGCGCCTGATTCACGTTCGTGGTCGCTGCTGATGCCGGTCTGGGCCCAGTCCGTTCACTCTGACGCTGCTGTAGAGCGGCGCCGGCGCTACGAGTGCGCAGGGGCGGGGTTGGTGCCTGTCCGGTCTCGTGCTTTCCGAAATTCGCACCTGAGAGCTCGTTCAGCACGCTGCTATTGCCTCCCAACGGCGGTGCCATTCGCGCGGGCTTGGACAGGGCTGCCCCGCGCACACCTCGGGCAGCTGCCTCAAGGATGCAAGTTGGCCATTGGCCCGCCATCATGGCCAAGATCACCCCTGCCACATGGTAGAGTTGATTCCAGGTGCTGGCGGCATGTACTCGACCCGAGTGGCCATCAGGGGCACCATCCACAAACACCGTGTCTCCAGCCACAACCAAACACACAAATCGATGTCCGTTGGTGATCACACCAAAATAGGGCCACCGCGGACGCTGTTCAGTCGCCTGCAGACACGCCAACTGCACGCAACACTGAACAAATCCCTGCGTCAAATCGATGCGCTTGGCCTCGACCACCCCACGGCGCGTACCCGCTCCGTCAAAAACACAATAATCCACGCGGCTGAGCGGCAGGAAGCGCGACTCGGCCCGCATCTCAGTTCGCATCTTGAAGCCAGCCACGGCCAGCAAAGGCTTGAGAACGGTGTCAATAATCAAGCGGCAGTCAGCTTCGCCCAGCCCTCGCGCCCCCACACGCCCCAATGTCGTATCCGTGTCCGTGGGTACCGATTCCCAAGCAGCGATGCTCGCCAAAGTTGCCGTGAGGTCGGTTCGCAACTGTTCGCGCAAAGCAGCCGACAATGATTGAGGTGGTAGGTGTACGGGCTGGAACCAGTGGCCCGGACAGTGTGCCAGCAGCGTGCGCGGTGTCCACATGCTGCCAGCTTTCTCCAGGTCTGAAAGGCGGCGCTCCGCCTCCCAATAGCGCATCATCTGGGCATACAACTCGCGAAACGCGGGCTCGGTGAGCCCCGTTGCTCGGCGACAGGCATCCTTTTCCGCCTCTCGAGCTGCACGATGCAGCGCATGGTGCTCTCGTAAGCTTTCTGCCACGTGTCGTGCCAGCGTATTGCCCGCCGGAAAGTGGGCTGCAGCGCGGTGCTGCAATTCACCAGGAATCCCCGAGCGAGCGGCACCCTCGCCCAGCTCGTGCAAAAGCGCCTGCAGCCATGCTGTGCTCTGTCGGCTTGCCCCACCCCGCCCGGACCGATGCATTCTTTGAGCGCCAGAAACACATCAGATCAGAAGCGTCATCCTCACCTCTTGATCTGCTTCACAGGCTGTCAGAACGCACTCGCTCGATCCGCAACTCACGCTCCTCACGCCCAAATCCCCTTGACTTCAAAAAGGCTTTATAGACACACACACACACACACACACACACACACACACACACACACACACACACACACACACACACACACACACACACACACACACACACACACACACACACACACACACACCAAGAGGAGAAGACTTACATGTAGTTATTTTATTTTATATTGCTGCATGATGTTGTGTGTGTGTGTGTGTCGTGTGCATTTCTCTTTGGCAGCGGCAAGAGGTTGAGAATGATGATCGATTAGCGGAGCACTGGGGTTGGGTGTGCGTCCGAAGGTCGAGTGAACGGTTGACCGGCTGCGTCGTGTGGATGTAATGCATGGATATGCATGACTTTTGAGGCACGTGGGGCTGATTTGTTCTTGACGGTTTGGATGACGAGGCAGTTGGCTCGTGCCGATGCTGCGCATCACTCGATCTTGCACATCTCTTGAGCTTTGGCGGTGATAGCGAGCATCATGGACCTTTGCCTTGATATTTGATCTGTGGAGCTTGAGTGGATGAAGTGGTGAGGGACGGATGCGGTTTCAGCAACGAACTTTCAGCGTCTGCGGCGGGTACCACCACACCAACTCGATGGCGGCTCCCCTCGAGGCCACCCAGCGAGCTGAGCTGTTGATCAAGCTGGGCATGACGCAAAAGCAGCGGGATCAGTCTTGCCTCTGTCTCTGCGTCATCTGGTTTTTTGCTGGTGCGCAGATGCCCTCGACTGTACGGGGGGTTCCTTCGAGTAACTTCGCTTGTGCTCTGACTCACGCTGCCTGGTCTGTGATCCTTTGGCCCCTTCTCCTCTTGCCACCCCCTGTACCCACCTAGGCGTGGAATACGCCATCATTTTACCAACCCTCTGGCTCTATCTTCAGGATCTGGGCATGGCCAAGCACTGGTATCTTGGGCTGGTGCTCTCCGTCTTCAGCATTGCCAATGTTTGCGCATCGCCCATCTTTGGCTCAATCGCGGATCGCGGGTATATCAAAGAGGTCCTCATTCTGGCCTCCTTTTTCATGATTCTGGGCAACCTGTTTTACTTTGTGGCTGATGACGGCCTCGTGGTGCTGGAGGCACGCTTTTTGACCGGATTTGGCGCCGGTGCTGCCTCTGTGGCGTTTGCCTACTTGGCCCGGGTGACCACTCTGGCCGAACGCACCAAAGTCATAGGGACCACCGTGGCGACACGCCAGCTCGGTCTACTCATTGGGCCCGCTCTGAATTTCGGCACCGAGCATCTTCATGCTCGCCTCAGCCACCTGATCACCATCACCCCCCTCAACATACCTGGGCTTTTGATGACCGGATTTTGGCTCATCGCAGCGCTGGTGACCGTCTTCATGTTCAAAGACATCCCGCCTGCCCTCGCGAGTGCGGAGGACGAAGAAGAGGAGGCCTCTTCAGACAGCAAAGCTTCTCTCGTTCTGCCTCGCCAAGCAGCTGGCTCAGAGCCATCCTTGGTGCTGGATGAGCCGGACGAAACAGCTCCACTCATCTCTATCCAGCAATCCGCACCTCAGTTGGGTCGGCGTGCTCCGCCAAAGTCCATCTGGGCTGAGTACACCCAGTTACCTGTTTTAGCCATCTTTGTCATCTCCTTCCTCTGCATCTTTAACCAGCTCGCCCTTGAGACCTGGGTGACTCCCTTTACGAATAAGTACTTTGGTTGGCGAGAAACCGCCAACAGGTAAGCATGCCTGTACCGGTGCCCTTGACGTTTCTTGTCTCGCCGCACACTCTTGCTTACGGAAGTTGCCTCTTTGTGGCTGGTCATTTCGTGTGGCTGCAGTATCATGTACATGATCATTGGCTTTGTGGCCATCATGGGGTTTCTCATTGTGCGGAGAATGGCACATCAAGGTGCATCGGACCGAGCACTGATGCTCATTGGCTTGATCCTGGAGGCCATCGGGTACAGTTTGCATACACAATACACGTGCACGCTCCTGTGTCAACCTTTGAGACCTCATGGTGGCTTCAAACGCAAACGACTCTCTTCCGCATCATAGCCTCGCCCTGGCCCTGGGGTGCCTGCCCTTGATGAAACCGCACACAACGTTGACTTTGGCGTGCTTTAGTACCACCGTCTTTTTCATCGTTGCTGGTCGGCATTTGCTGTTCTACGCTCCTCTCCGATTGTCTGCATGGAATGGAAACCGCCACCCAGCATTCGGTTCATTTCACTGCAAACGGTTCAACGCAACCACGCACGCCCCTTCCTAATCCATTTCATCTGGCTGATCACTGGCATAGGCTTGCCGTTTCTGTTTATCCCCCCTCCGTCTCTGCAGTCCAAACTCACGGACGAGCGCACTCAGGTCTCTTTGCTTGGCCTCTTCCCGCCATGTGCCCGAGCTTGTGCATGCACATTGTCTTACATTCGATGCGGGTGGGGGGTTTTCTTCATGTCTAGGGCGTGGGCCAAGGCTTGCGGCGCACGATCGTCTCCGTCGGCACTATCGTGGGACCCTTGTGGGCTGGAGCCGTGGCCAACAATCAGTTTCTTTTTCTTGGTCTGATGCTCGGTAAGTTTTGATTCATGGCTCTGCGTGACAGATGGGTGTTGCGGCTTGCTTCCGTCTTGCGTTGGCTGTGCTAAACTGACTGTGAACGTCTGCGGCGCACAGGTTTGGTTCTGTTGGCGAGCGTCATCTTTGGCGCTGTTTATCGGCAGCTTCTGCCTGCCAAGCCACTTGGTGCTTGACAACGCGCGCGACAATCAGGGGAGCAGGTTACGGGTGTAGTTTGCTTTCGAAGACTTGACACTCGTCTTCTGGCGAAGCCGCTGAATATTTAATTTCAAGAAAAGAAAAGAGTAGCGTTGTGACCGCAGTGGCTCTTGGCTCGGAGTCAGCAGACTCAAAGTCTAAGTTCACTCATGTATAGTGACGGCATGGCACTCAGTGCCTTGCCGGTTAGGTAGGCGCATGTGTGTGTGTGTGTGTGTGTGTGTGTGTGTGTGTGTGCCTGAGCGTGTAGTTTTCTACGACTCTTGGACAGAATTTAGAAAGTTGATCAGGTACTTGAGTCGCAAAGTCCCATCCTGCGATGCAAAGGAGGCACAAAGGCATAATATGGACAGCCATGGAGATGAGATTGGCCGTTGCATTGACCATCAGCCGTCCCATAACAAAGGCAAACGCACGCGTGCCGTAGCATAGTCAGCAGTAGCAAAAGCCTGCTCAAGATCGGCTTCAATGGCGGCGCACTCCTCTGGGGACAGGGGCAGGCCGCAATGTTGGGGGTGAGATTTCGGGGAGCACCGCAAGGAGCCACCAGCCTGTAGGATGTAGCATACCTTCAACTTGACTGGCAAGTTGCTGGCGCTGTTCATCTGTACCTGTCTCGCGGACCTCGTGGCGCTGGCCACACCGTCGAGGTGGCGTGAGCACGCAAAACGTGCGTGTGTGAGTTTGTACGTGCAAGTCACCAATGTATGGGCCACGGTTGAGGTTGGGCTCACCTCCATCATTTCCATCAGAAACTCCGCCGAACTGTTGATTTCGGTGGCTGGGGTGTCCTCGGCAATACCATGGCCGGCCAGGCGCAGCTGTGTATGATGAGGACATGGTTAGTGGGCGAGCTGGGGCACGGGCCATCCCCAGACCCAGGCCGCCACGGCCAAGAGCGCACACGACGCGCTCAAACGGACTTAACGCACCAAAGCAAGAGCACGTTCAATGGGGTCCAGAAGCACTGTGCCTGCACGGTTGATAGCCGCTGTGCGGGCGATGGCCGTCTCCATGGCGCGCTGTTTGAGAAGGCCACGCACCACGCCAAAAATGTGTGAGACGGCAACGCTTGCCAACAACCGCGTACGACTGAGGCGGTGACGTACTTGGTCGTGACCAAAGCGGTCTGGGTGGTGTGCCCGCAGCAGTTCGCGCTGGCGGCGCTGCACGTCACTTGGTTCTAGGTGGAACTGGGCTGGTCTGAATGCCAGCAGACACGATCGAAAGTGAGGATGGGCAAAGGGTTGACATGTTGGAGCCATGGCAAGCGTGATGTGGAAGAGCAGCTGAGCAAGTAGCAAGGGGTGAGCTGAGTGGGCAGCGTACAAGTCTAGCTCTGCAAAAGGGTCAAAGACTGAAGGCACCGGGGCAGCTGGGCTTTGTGTGGCGCTGCGGCCGGGCGCAAACGGGTCAGTGTCAGGGTTTGATGGTGTTTCGAGCGTCTGGAGAAAGTCTCGCAGAGCCCCACTGTGCTGACTGCTGCTCCGAAGCTGGAAAACGAGGCTTGTGGATGCAGCAGTCGCCACAGCAGGGGTCACTCGACGGGCCGCGAGTGCCAAGAAGCGCTGTGCGCATACGCGCTGCAACCCCAGAGCCTTGCTGGTCGCCATTTTGAACTAGCTGTTGCGTCACTTTGCGTCCAAAACCGCAAGACTCTGAACCTGTTTGGCCGTCAGTCAGTGAGCTGACTCAGAGCGAAAAAAAAACAAAACATGTGCTACCATACCAGCCCACTACCCCGTTTTATCCCACCACAGCCACAGCCACAGCCACAACGACGACGACGACGACGATAACCACCACCACCACTGCTCGTTTCGCCGCCGCGACAGCCAGCCATCGCACCAGACATCACTAACCCTTTTTTCTCTTCTTCCTCCTCTTCTTGCTCTTGCTTGCTGTAGAAAATCTGACACATAAATGATGACAATTTACCGTTACGCACAAACGCGCGCTGAATTGACGACTCGCAGACGGATCAGGAGGAGGGGGAGGAGGGGGTGGTTCTGGCATTGACTGATCGATTGGCAGTCAGGTGGGAGAAAAGGGGTGAGGCTGAAGGTGTGGGGAGCTGCGGCACGGGGTGATCAGTATCATGGCTGGGGCGCGCCATATTGTTCAAATGCCACCGCCCATTCTGGCTGAGCTGTGGGCTTGCAGTCATCAAGGTGGGGCTAGTTTGGTCCACACCTATTCATCGAGGGAACATGTCTCATTGGCGCATCTGTTTTAGTGGGTCGCTTTGTTGATGTGCTGCTCTATGGACGCCACGTACGGCAGTCTCTGAGTCACGGTATGCCACGGCCACGGTGGCGCTGCGTTCGTTGCCTCAGTACGTCGCTCACGGGCGCATTCCTCGCTCTGGCATGCTTTTTGCACGCACAGCCACAGACATGGCGGAGCATCAGGTGCAGGAATCCAGCGTTTATGTGATCGAGGCTCTTCGCTTCCTCGATGCTCCTTTTTACACCACCAAAGGTGAGATGATCATGCAGTCTTCTTCTTCTTCTACTTTTTTTTTTAATTAATTTTTTTTTTTTTTTTTCGAGCTGCGCGCTTTCTCGTCTGGCTTAAGCACAACACCCATCTATTCCTGATAGGCGAGCTGAGTGTCACATGGCGCGAGCTTGAACATCCACGCCTCGGCTCGGTTGGTTCTAAACTGAGTTTTGCCGTGCATGTTTCCCTCTCGTTCTACCTGTCAGTTTGTTGCCCGCCTCACTCATGACCTCGGGTGTCATTAGCCCTGTGGCTGGTGTCGCTCCCGGCCGGGGTCCCGACGACCATCACTGCGCGAGCTCTGGGCAATTCAAAGTCTGCAGCAGGCCAGTGGCCGGGACGACGATACAGACACTCCATGGCTACTCGGGCTTCTTGACAGCTCACGTGACCACGCCGGTGCCCGAGCTCAACACCGTCTCGACTTTTGGGCCGTCTGCCCACCTCCTCCACCCATGTCAGCCGCGCCTTCCTCGAGCCCAAGCGAGGACCCAAGCATGTCTTCCGCTCGTCTCTGGCCCGCATCGGTGCACACGCAGGGGCTGGAGCGCTGTGTGCTCTATCGGTTCGGCTCGCGCGCTTGCCGATTGAAGATGCGCTGCTCTGCCGAGGCAAGCGTGTCAGCACACCTCACGAGTCGTTTGGCGGGCGCGGTCCTTTGAACGTATCGAACCCTCTTTTGATAGGAATAGTACGGGACGCCACACTGTAAGCAACCAGTCCCACAGGAGCTCGACGGATTTGGCACTGGCTCGTGCTCTCCAGTACGCCACCAACCCAGAGCTTGCTGTGCCTGTTACCGTTTGTCACGGGCCGGTCCCCACTCATGAGTGCTGGGCCTTGCCGTTGAGTTACAGGGCACCCGCAAGTCACGGCGGCGATGCCTCGTATACCCCGTTGGCAGCGCAGTTGGTTCGTCACCTGCAAGACCGCCTTCAGACCCTCATACCATCGGCCTCCGAATCAGTATAGCCAAGGCACCTAGCCAAGGCACCAGAGGGCAACTCTGTAATGGCTCCGCAGCAGACAACATCTTTCACTTTGCAAGCTTTCAATTTACTGGGTGCCCAGCGCCCGTGGACCCAGCACCTTGCCGGGATTCATAATATTGGTGGGGTCAAACGTGCTTTTGACGGCCAACATGGCGGCAATCGTGGCATCTCCCATCTCCTCGCGCAGCAGGTGCTGCTTGCCTAACCCGATGCCATGCTCACCGGTACACGTCCCATCCAATCGGATGGCTTCCCTGCTCAGCACCAGAGGCAACGTGCCGGTGATGAGGTCAAGCCCGTTTCTGGTACTAAACTTCTCAAGCCCAAGGCCATCTGTGATGGCGTCTTGTCTTGCAGTGCACGAGAATTCAATAGCCCAATCACACAAGCAAGGTCCACTGCAACAACCCTCATTTCTCGCTGGTAAAACTCAAGACAGGCGACGAAAGAGCCAGAAAAACTGATGACATACCGAGCCAAAGCTTCCGAAAGCTGCTTGACGCGCTGCACCTCTGTCGTGTCGTTGGGGTCAAAGGCTGTGATGCAGTGAAAGTTGCCATCACCCACGTGCCCAGCAATCGCCGAAGACAGGTGAAGCTCTTTCATCTTGGCAGCAGCAAAATCCACCATGGCCGGCAGGGCACTGATAGGCACGCAGACGTCGGTGGAGTAGCCGCGACCGCCAGGCCGTTGTGCCATGCACGCATACCTACAAGCGGGGTTGACAGCCGCGTACAAAGACAACATCAACGTATGAAAAATAGAACACGGCCAAGAAGGGATCCACACCCCAGAGGCCAATTTTTTTCTGACGCGGAGCCATAACACACCAGGCGTTATGACGCGCAGCCCATAGCTTGTGACGCTCTTCAGCATCTGGAGAAAATCGAAAGTGACTGCCGCCATTGTCCTCTACCACATCCTGCACCAGCTCTACCTGTTCGGCCACTGACGACTCGCTAAAGCCTGCACGTGGCGGTTCAAGGGGTGAGCGGCAGGTAGACACTTGAGAGACACAGAAAGAAGAAGCTCGGTATAAGCTTGCGACCGATGCCAATCTGACCGTGAAATTCCAAAAACAAGTGGGGGGCCACGGGGTTGTCGAGCTTGGAATACGCATTTGTGGCTTCAATCATGGCCGCATCAAGTAGTTCCATCCGAGCAATGGGGACGTTGTATTGGCGGATGCCTGCAGCAGCGCTGGCCGCCGCGTGTACATCGGGGAAAGCACACACAGCCGACATGACGTGTGCGGGCTGAAATAAAAGTCAGTGAGTGATGAGGAAGAATGGCGCCACCGACAGTCAAATGTTGTGCGGCTGGGTACCTGGCCATGAAGCCGAAGGGTTGCAGCAGTGATGATGCCCAAGGTGCCTTCAGAACCAACAAAAAGATTTGTCAGGTTGTAGCCAGCTGCTGATTTTGGTGAACGGCCCTGTTGGGACGCAGTTGGGGCGGCGAAACCATGAGCTTGGGTGCTTTGACTAGGCAGCGGCAAGAAGGGCGGAAACGCGATGCACGAGGGCCAGCCTACCCGAAGACCGGCCGTGTGGATAATGTCACCATTTGGTAACACGACTTCGAGATTCAGCACATTCTCCCGCATGGTGCCGTAGAGCACGGCATTCGTGCCGCTGGCCGATGTGGCTGCCATGCCACACAACGATGCATCTACAAGGGAACGGATCAGGTAAGAAGGGGTTGAAGGGTTGGAAAAGGCATCAGGTCTGGACGAGCGCGGGTCAATCAATGTCCAGGCCAGCAATTTGTCATGCGCTAGATGCATTCTTTGTCCCCTTCATTGCTGTGATTGCTACCTGCGCCAGGATCCACGGGAAACCAGAGACCGGTGTCTCGGAGGTAATTGTTAAAGCTGGTGCGTGTGACTCCCGGTTGCACAGTGCCATCAAAATCATCGGCATTGACAGATACGACGGCGTCCATGCGCGTCAGATTGAGCACGATGCCGCCCTGGAAACGAATGTGCATGTTAGCGGCGCAAGAGCCGAGAGCTATGCATGGCGAAAGAATGCGCTTGCGCTTTTACGGGAGCGCCCGAGGTAACTCCTCAACGTACATGTGTGGCAATGACACCACCTTCAAGGCCGGTGCCAGTGCCATATGGCATGATGGGCGTGTTGGTCTTGTGAGCGAGCTTGACAATGGCGCTCACCTCCTCCACCGAGGTGGGCCAGACGACTACGCCGCGAACAAAGCAATCCCGGTCAGGGCCGCCCGGCCAAGCGAGGGTCTCAGCAACTGCACCTGCTCAGGCCAAGGCGGCAGCGTACCGTGCGAGGGCTGGTGTGAGGGGTGGAAGGATTCGTCGTGATCATGCTGCTCCAGAACCGCGTGGGCGTCCGAAATCTATTCCGGCAAGAGTGTGGATTCAGGCCAAGATGCAGCTTGAAGGACAGGTTGCTCGCAGCCAAGCGTACCGTGCAGTCGGCTGACACAACGCCTGCAAGGTCAGCTGTGGAGACAGCGTAGGCCCGACGTGTCTGTCTTGAATAATGATGCACAGCACCAAATCCACCTCTCGATGGCATCACCGTAGCCAAGGCGGTGACAGCCCTGCGACCACCGCGTGCTCTCCACATGATGGTGGCTCAGAACGACCGATCGATCTGCTGTGAATGAGAGAGAGTTTGAGAGAGTTTGAGAGAGTTTGAGAGAGTTTGAGAGAGGTTGAGAGAGAGAGAGTTTGAGGGAGAGTTTGAGAGAGTTTGAGAGAGAGAGTTTGAGGGAGAGTTTGAGAGAGAGAGAGAGAGAGAGAGTTTGAGGGAGAGTTTGAGAGAGTTTGAGAGAGAGAGTTTGAGGGAGAGTTTGAGAGAGAGAGAGAGTTTGAGAGAGTTTGAGAGAGTTTGAGAGAGTTTGAGAGAGTTTGAGAGAGTTTGAGAGAGAGAGAGAGTTTGAGGGAGAGTTTGAGAGAGAGAGAGAGAGAGAGAGAGAGAGAGTTTGAGGGAGAGTTTGAGAGAGAGAGAGAGAGAGAGAGTTTGAGATTGAATATTTTTCACAGAGCAGTCGTTTGTTGGAATCGCGGGTGGTCATCGCGGCGCGTGAATTGTTCACTTGGCGGGGTGATCAGCGTGTGGGTGGATTACGCTTATTGTGGCAGCTCGACTCTGGTGCCGATACACTTGTCAAGATGGAGGCGACACCGTCGTTGCCATTGGAAAGCCGACTCATCCTTCCCTTCCCCTCGGCGCGCTTGGCCGAGATCGCCTATAATACGCTTCGTGTCGACCAGGTCGGCCGTACCAAGCACAAGACGCTTGCTGGCTTGCTGGACTGCATAGCGCACCCTTCTCTTGGACCATCGTGTCGAAGCTTGACGTCTCTCTCCTCTCACGCATTCAACTCCTTTTCTTTCTCCGCACTAGGAGCCGAACAGCCGCTGCAAGAAAACGCTGACCGTTCAGGATAAGAAAGTCGAAGTGTGAGTTTGCGGCACGTCTTGTGGCCATGTGCGGGGCCTTGCTCTGGCTCAATTGCACTTGAAAGCTCACGCGCGCATCCCTTGCCTCGTTTCTGCCCGCTGGCCTTGCATTTTGCCGGACAGGTTGATCCAGGCAGCCGAGCTCAAGATTTTGCGGGTATCGACCAATTGGTTGTTGGACATGGCCCTGCTGACGATCGAGACCATGCAGCAGTTTGACACCCAGCCCACGGACCGAGCGTTGGGGTGAAGAAGAATCACCAACGAGACTACTAGAGAAATTTTTTGAATCGATTGGAGTACGTGCCTTGACCCAAGCATCACGACACACTGCTCACCAAGAGCAATGCGCTTCAGGCGATACAGCAGTACGCGCAGGCACAGACACACATAATTGCACAGGCAACGGCTTGGATTCACTTCACTCAGGCGTGGCCATTGGCCAAGACCGCGCGCAGGCGGCGGTTAAATTCAGAGGGCAGGACAACCTCAACACCGTCCAAGGCATGGAGGCTATCCACCAAGGTGTTGACAGCGGACACCGTGTTGCTCCAAGCATCAAGGGCAATGAGCGAATAGCCGTGGACGCTCGACGCGTTGCGTTGCAGCTTGTCCACAAAATCGGGAATGGCAGTGATGGGCAAACAGCCGGGCCCACAGCTGAAGAGGCAGTCTTCAAGGGTGGCGTGGTTGCAGGTCCACATGCGAGCGCCCACGATGGGAGTGCCATCGCTGGCCACTGCAGTTGCGCCGATCAGCTCGTCGTAGCTAAAGTAGTTATAGTAGTAGACGCCATCCACCTGCGGATCACGGGCGTAGGGCTCTGCAATTTCTTGAAAGCGCACCACGGTCTCAATCGGGTTGCCGGAAATGAGATTGAGGGTGTGCATGTCCGTCTTGTTCATGACTGCCGAGGTGAGATTGATAAAGGTCGCCGAGTCACGCAGCTCGTCTGGGTACGTGTAGCCCAGACCACTGGGTCCGGCCACAAACTCGTCGTTCGGGGTGGCGTTGCGATACAGCTCGAGGAGCAGGGCGGGGTAGAGTTCGGCCAGGGCAGGCGAGACAGTCCAGCCCATCGGAGCATGCCCCCGTCCCGGGGCATTGAAGTGATTGTCATCAATGAGGGTCTGCTGGTCGTATCCACCGGTGTTGTCGCCATCGGTCCACAACAGCGTCACTGTGTGGATAGCTGCGCCATCACTGGGGTGAAGGGTCGAGGCCGGGGCTACCTTCGGTCGCAAGGCCGTTTGATTTTGACCAGGCCACTGCTTGTATTGCGGGAGGTCAAAACCGGTGAGGCTAGCCTGATTGACGGCACCGTCAGCGCAGTGGACCCAGCTGGCGTTTTGTGCGGCCGCAGTGACAAAGAGCAGTTCGCGCGGTACGCCGCCAGGCATCCAGCCTAGAATGGCCGATTGGGGTTGCAGGGTTCGCGTGATGCGATAGAAGAGATGGGTCATGCTACCAGTGGGGTCCGCCACCGGGTCGGCGTACATAAAAAAGGCTCGCGCAAAGACGGCATAGTCGGCGAGGTAGGGGGAGTCGGCAACGACGAAAATGCGAGAAGACCAGGCTTTTGGCTGCGCCTCCCAGATGGTCACGGGATCCAGACCCGTTGCGTTGGCAACAACGGTGGCATTGAGCTGCTCGCCGTACAGTTTCCACTGGCGTGCAGACAAAAGCAGAGCCGCGTCGTGGCTTGCTACCATGCTAATGGCCAGATTGACCTCGTTCAGATTGGACACGTTGGTGTAGAGAACCACGGCTGTGGGCAACGGCCGTAAGCGAGCAGCTGCCATCAAAGTTTCGTTAAAGGTATGGCCTCGGCTCCAGGTCAAGTTGTACAATTCCCGCAGCGTCGTAAAGCCTAAGCCAACCTCGTGTGGTGCGTGCCAAGCCGGGGTCAGAGGGGTTGCGCCATGTCAGCGTGATGTGCCCCGAGTTTATGACAGCGGGACAGTGGTGTGCAGGACAAACCGCTTTGATGCTCGTACTCCTCCAGCATCAGGGGGCAATCACGAGCATACCACCCAGCCAGAGCAGCCAACGCGAGAGTATCCTCGGGGCCGCCATTGGCCAGTATAGTTGCTCGATCATAGATCACCATGGCTTGATTGTGGCTGCAATTCAGCCCCTGGGAAGGCACGGGGTAGGGTGTGCCCGGGAGGCGGCTCGCCAGCACCGTCGTGGTGCTGGCGAGCAGCAGCAAGCTGCCCAACAGCAGCAGCAGGCCCTGTCGTATCATTGTGCGCACGCTGCTCGATCCCGTCCTCCCTCTTTCTCTCTCTTTTCCCTCCTTGAAGGCGAGGAGCTCTGATCTGATCCAGGACGTGTGTGTGTGTTTGACAAGTCTGTGGCCCGTGCGCAGTTTTCTCTGACGTTCACACACACACACACACACACTCTCTCTCTCTCTTTCTCAAACCGAACCAATTCATTTCTCTCTCTCTCTCTCTCTCTCTCTCTCTCTCTCG